GATACATGGGAGGTCACCCGCTGTGTCGCTTACACTTCGATGCGTGCAGGCTTTTCGCTCAAATAGATAGCAAAATTAATATTCAAAAGTTGCTTCAAGCGTGTGATCTCTCCCTCAGGTCAACCCTTTTTTCGAGTATCACCTGCGCCTAGAGTTGCAGCGTCGAATTAAATTTGTGTTTTCCCTTATGACAATCTCACTAGTACGAAGCGCTGGAGAAATACTGAAGAAATTTGCACCCAATCAGCGCACTGGGCGAAGGCATGCCGTTTTGAATGCGTTGCGATTTTTAAATCTGACACATCGTTCTTGCTTGGCTTTGTAAGCACTTTCTAGCTCCTGCTTATGCTCTAAACACCCTGTTCATATCAATGGGCATGTATCCGTCAAGTCTTAAACCTGGAGGAAGACCTGGCATGCTTTGCACGCGGGAAACTCAATCCATTTCCTTATTCTGAACGTCGAGACAGAGTTACGCCAAGATTATAAGCAACATCGGCGCCATGGAAATCTTGCCAAATGACTCCTTAAGCCTTCCACTTTACCAAATACTGATGTAACCTTTACTGTCATAATTATTTTCTGATCCAGTATGTGCGCTGTACAATCATACCGTTTGGCTAAAAGCACACAGTACAGTATAGAGCTATGTTAAAATGGCTCAATGTTTTTGGGTTTGTAGCCTAGTATTCAAGGCAAGATCACATCATTAGGTGTTACTGTTTCACTTCAGTTGTTTTGAGGTCATTCTGCCTCTTTTGCTTTCGCACGTTCAGGTTCTCAGCTATTGCGTTGCATAGTGCACAATCTCGTTGAGATGAATCATCGGTTTTGCAGCTATGGTTTGCTGAACCGAAATCTCGTACAACATCACGTTCTATCTCAGAACTAGAGCCGCCTTGTAGCGGAATCAAAAAGGCACAGAAAATTACCGGAAAATTGACATATAATGAGGCAATGCCTATAACGAGGACTGCAGTTTTCAGAATTTGCTTTGAGAGCGGTTTTGCTGCGCGCGAGTGCTTCGGAGAATTCCTTCCACCAAGCGAAGAACGCGTTCATGTCCGAACATTTGCCTGGAGATGTTTTGCGGAAGACATGTTGTCGAAAACTACAAACGAAGTTTTGCAAATTGATGTAAAGCTCAAATTATGATCCAAAACAATGGCCACAAGAAATCTACTTGACAAAAACTTTCTATCTTCGAGGGTAGCTCGACGGCAACACAACTTTCCATCTCGGGACTAGAGCCGCCTCGCGGCGGAATCAAAAGCACAATAAATATCAAAGAGGCAATGCCTTTAGCGAGGACTACTGTATACAGACTTTGCCCCAGGGCCGGGTTGATGCGTGCGAGTGCTTGGAAAAATTTATTTTACTGCGCAAATTACGCTTTCATGTCCGAGCATTTTCCGGAGTTGTTTTGCGAGAGGATTGCTGTCGAGAGCTTTAAACAAGCTCGGCAAAAAAGGCAAAGCACAGATTATGATCCAAAACAACGACCACCAACAACCTATCTTGGCGAAAAACTTAATTTTCGAGGAGTAGCTTGACTGTATCCTCACCGATAACGGTGTCGCTGCCAGCCATTCTGGCCACGCCAGCGCGGAGGCCTTGCATAAAGACGGTCACCGTGACCGCCTCCGGAAGGGATCTGCTGCCATCCCGGCAATGGAAGTTTCTTGCTTAGTCGATCCGCAAAGACCACAATACTGGTAATACCGGACGCGTCTTTAGGAAGACCTAGTATGAAGTCCGCTATTGAGCTACAACAACTTTGCCGAAGCAGACATACTTGCCAAGGTCGCCAACACGTGCTGCGAGAGTCTGATCCGATGTTACTTCTAACACGCCTGCATATAATCGCTTACCCATTCCTTCATGCCTGTTTACCATTACACTACGTTCACCAAGCTTTATATTCCCTTTTTATCGAGGTGGCTATCGAGGGGGTTATCTTGAACCCCGTACCATTCTGTACATGAGGTCCGCATTATTACAACTTGAGTGTCAAGTGTGATACAGCAAGATTTCCGACAAAGATTAGGAGTGTAATGCGCTGCCAAAACGGTTCGGTATATCGATATCCAAGATTTAAAGATTCTTGAACGACTCGTATACTGTAGGAATAGTCTAATCGATACGCGATGTCCTCATCGAGACATGCGACAGTCCATAATCCGGGAGAACGAAAGCGCATCCACCATCACATTAAGCCAACCCGGCTTATGCTTTACCTCGAAGGTATTCGCGGCGATGAACGATAAACATATTGCAATCTTCGCGAGAGATGTGTTGACATACCGAATGTTCAATACGACTACATGGACGAGTAAAGCAAACCCGTTCAATTTTCGGTATGGTCGTCTAGAATACGAAATTCATAGTTGACTTGCTTAAGTCAATGTAAATGTGAGCCGTCAAAACAGATTTGAAATATTGTATCACGATGTCGAAGCCTTTTTAGTTACAACGCAGTATTTCAAGCAGTGCGCCAACGTGGATGCGTCAAGAACAGAAAATTAAGTTATAATTTTCACTCGAGCCATGCCACAAATCATCTTTCTTCTGCATCAGTCAGCAAGCAAAAACCCACTGGGGACTAAATATAAGAACCTAAAGCCTACCAAAGCAGGACGACATACTAAACATCAAGAGCACGAGCATTTTATCGTCTAGCACATTAAATACTGATAATCCTACTAGCAAGTCCACCTCTCATAATCGCACGACTGCTCACTATAGTCCAAAAAACATGAGCACGTGCGACGTATTCAATTTTTTAAAACTGAGACATAAAATTCGAATTCCTGTCGTTACATCAAGATTTTTCTAACTACAAAAGTGTCGTTTCTTTCACTAGTTTTAATATCATCTGATTGGCTGATACTCAACTTCGCGACTAACAGTTTCTATTTTATATCAAAGATTGCAAATGGGCTCTATACCTTAATAATCCACAATTTTGTTTCATCTCTCGAACCAAAGAGGTGGGAGAGTATTCAACTAAAATGCAACGCAGCACTGTGTTCGGGTCTTGCGTACAGTCAGTAGGTACAGCAGCTTCGGTTCTTTTTGCAATCATCAATCGTTGTGGCCACTTTTCCGACAAACCACGAGACAACACCATCACTCGACAAGCTAAAATTCTTTATATCTCACTTCTCGAAAGTGTTCAAAAAGAACGTGGTGAATGGCAAGGATTTTCATTATCGTTCGAATCAAATGACAATAATAAAGTCGACGAGATTGCACTTATGACTCCTCGCGAGGTTCTTACATCAAGTATTGAAGAACTTTCCACAAATGATCAACTTGATCTTTTAAGTGAAATTCTGGACGTGAGTTTTCGCAATTTAATGGGTCCGTTAGTACCTTTTGAGCTTTATACACGACAGAAAAAAGTCATGATGCAGCAAAGTTTGGCTGTTCCACCGACACTTACGACACTATTAGCAATTCGTGATCTCTTGACTCAACTTGAGCGGGATGTTCAGCATTGTCTATTGCGCTTATTTGCCTTGTGGGATTTAATTGCTCTTGTAAATTATGAGTCGCAACCACTTTCGAAGACAATTGCAGAGAAATATGATCATATTTTCAGTGAATCGTCGGAATTTCAAAATCGGGTAAAATTTGTTTAATCTAGTTGATAATTAAGATTCTCTTACTGCTTTTATGATGATTGATAGACGACACGGAAGAGTGAACGACAAGACGTTGTTGCGATGAATCTTTTGCAAGTGATGGTGTTGTACAGAGATCTTCTTTTCAGTGATATTGAGGTTCGTAGATGGACAAGGATTACATATGGAATAACGATTGATACTTACAGACTCCTTGATAGTTTATCTTAACCAAACAGGAGCTTCGAATTAATGCACAACTACTCAAAACAAATTCTGTTCTCTGGTCCACAGATACAGAGTCTGTTTCTTTCAAGAAGGACGATCGATTTTGGAGCGATAGCGATATCGGTAGCAGCTGTAGTGACGAGAATCAAATGCTACATGACGATACTTTAGCAGATTCGTTGGGACACCATGCTGCCTTGAACTCTTCTCGATCTCGCTTTACAAGTCCAGTGGAATATGAAGACCAGGACTTGGAGATTGAAGCACGACGTGACTGGTCTGTCCCAAGACCTTGCCATCACACTGACCACAGCGAGGATAGAAACCTGCGATCTCGTAAGAACATGTGCTATTCTCGCACAACGGATTCATTTGCTGCTTCTAGCAATGACAACATAATTCTGCATTGCCAAGCGGATCATCTGACCCTAGAGCGAATTCCAAGTGGACGTCGTCGCTCGCAACGTTCTCTCGCCTCAAACTTGAACTCGCCAACCCCCAGTGCAAACAGCCAAGCTAGCTCGAGCACAAAATCTACATTGCGAAGGGCAAATGTACAGACCTCACAAAGCAGCTCGTTTCGTGAGAGAATTGATCGACAGCAAGATACAAACAGGACTGAAGTGCGATCCCCTCAAAGCTCTCGATCCAACTTTCGCAGTAAACGCACACATCGCAGTAGAATTGGCTCGACCTCACGAAGTGAAGATTTCTCGCAACCGATGGACATGACAATACCAGAAAGGGTTTTTCAAAATGATGAAAAGGCGACCAAACGACGTGACGTGCCAATCTTTTCAAGTATCGTGATTCCAGTTGCTGCTGCAACGTTATGTGTAATCGCAACATGGACAACGTTGGCCATTCATGACATGCGTAAAGCTCCACGCAGCTAAAGTCAATTGTAGCCAGCAGAATTCTTACTATCTGGAACAATTCAAAAGTTATGTTGTTTATTTTTTAGTGAATTTTTTTTAGTCAAACTATGGGTTGATGAAATTTTGGAAGGGATTTAAACCTGCTCAAAAGAATTGCATTTGTTTGTTATTGAAACATTAAAATTTCATACAAAAATACTGAAAAAAATTGCATAATGCTAAAACTCCTTGTTTCAATGATTTAGCAAAGCAATGGGCTATAATTTCAGTAATTCGGACTGCAGTTGGTTTTTCTACACAGTGCAGAGCAAAGTTTTAAACACACCGATCTACGTCAGACGTAGATCGGTGTGTTTACGTCGAATTACGAAGTGCATTCGATGTTTGAGCCCTACTCATGAAGTAAAGGCTATCGTCATGTCATCAGCGGCTGAATTCCGCATAGCCACGATACAATATTTTACTGCTATACAGAATTCACATTAGACAAGTTACAATTTATGGAGATCATGGGACTCCACAAACGAGAGGTCCGCTGCATTTTTAGATTAATTATGTCACTGTGAAATTGCAAGCAGCTAGTTTCTTTGAATGAATATCGGTCCCGCTCATAAGTGACGAAACCCAGCCTTTGAGCGCTGTATACGTGGCACGACTATGGACGGATATATCATCAAGAAAACGATTTTGCACAGCCACAAGGTGACCGGAATAGCTGCGTTATCAGACACTTGGACGTCGCTGGTAAAGACAGTCTATATGGCATACTAGCCACTCCCCAGAGCACCTCGCACAGAGTATAAGAAGGATGTCGCTGTCGCTCCTCGGTAGTTGAAAAAATTAATTGGTTAGAACAAAGAGGCTGAACAAAGTGCAACCGCTCGTGATAATCTGTAACAAATCCCCTATTAAAACAGGATTTGCGCTGGACGCGGCTACATTTAGGCTTACCATAAACATGCTCGATTAGAAACTTGCCGCTAGCCTTTCTGACCTAGAAAGTCGTGGAGGTGTATTTTTCGAGCCCATTTCATGCGTTGCATAGAAAAACGTCAATGATAGCACACAGTTTACTTGGTAAGGTGTGACGCGAATCTAGTCTCGGAGACCAAGTTAATTTCATGTCGCACTCCTCTATTCGACGGTAACACGCGTGACAGACCGCTTGTCTCCACGTCACGATGTTCCTTCAACAAAGAATAAAGCGGATCCGTAGGACCATTGTAATATCCTTGCTGTCCCCACACCCAGTCTTCTGTGTGTATCCTCAACGAAATATTCATCCATAACGGATGACGAGCTCAACTTCATCTCAAATACCAACCGTATCACTTCGGTGATCACACCGTCCTGTACTTCCTCGCACATACCCTTGCGGGGTATTACCGCAGCGCTGAGTCGACCCTCTACTTTAGCGGCTATGACACGGGAGATGGCGACACCTAGTTGCTTTCACTATTCACCAGCCCTGACACAGGAGACTTCAGCTTACAGCAATATATCACCATCTTGTCAATAAAATAGACTGTACAACCATTTTTCTATATTATAGTGATAGCGTGGCACACTGTCACATCTACCTTCAGGGCTCTGCTTCAGCACGCAATACTTTTTGAACTATATTGAAGCTTTGTATCCACAAACTGCTTCATGGCAGCGGTGGTTTTTTGGCTCGCGAATGCTTCACCGGGAAAAATATGCCTGGCACCAAATGTTTTCGACTGTCTGTCGATTCATGGTTTGTAGCGTTCCCACAATCCCATACTCAAAATGACATCGTATCTCGAATTCACTCAGAACTGGGCAGAGTTCCATGCTATCAAAGTTCCCAAAATCTACCTGAAAAGTCAACATGACCGTCGGCGCCTTTACCAGTAATCCTGGCTCAGCTGACACGTAAGTCTTATCCGTATTTGACATCTCTAATGCCTCTGCATACTGTCGATTTTCTCAATAGACGTCTGCTGCACGTCATTGCTTGATTTTGGAATCTATCAGGTCTTTTATACTTTCATAAAGCCCGAGACGCTGATTTTAATGCCAGAAACCCTCAGCCGCAAGCCCCACCCTTCTCAGATAGAGTAGCTCATTTTTGTGCCGAGTGCCATTGACCACGACCACCACAAGGTACAATTAGACCTATTTCTTTCCCGGTAGGTATTTCCTTGCCTATTGAGGATCATTGTTTTCCTGCGATAGATTGGTCAGACGACCATGCGAGAAAACGACATTGTGCCTCTCATTCGAGAACCAAGGTGCTGATGCTTCAAACATTTACAAATAAAACATCTACAAATTTGCGGAGCTGCTTAGCAGCCAAAAAAATTTACATCAAGATGACATAGTGCTGTGCATCTAGCTCTCTCATCAAGATTCCACTTTAAGAACTCCATCACGCCCTCACAGCGTGAATGTTGTAATCCTCATTCAATTAGACACCCACCGTTTTTGCAGGAGGTAAGATGGACATGGAAAGGATCGACGCAACTGAAAGGTGGGTATTGAGAGCCACACTGAACACCTGCGAGCAATGCTCGAGTAAATGCAGCTCAAAACGCTGTTCGCCAAGATAAGCAAGTGCTATTAGGCGACGACGAAATCTCTACTATGGCCGCTTTATGGAAGCTATGACCTGTTCGCAGATCCCACAAAAAGCATAGCCATTGTAGATTGACAAGTGCTTCTACTTCAAAAGAGGGTTAAAGGGTGGTTTGGCCAACAATTACGTACAAGTTTACTGCTGACTATTGTCAAAATGGCTCGCCCACCTTACCAATCGGATGCCAGATTTCGCGATTCTGGCTCATCTAGCTTTAAATCGGCTATTCAACATTTTCTCGGTAGTTTCAGTTCTGCATTATGCTTCGCTTTCATCAAAGTAAATGTCAATGGGCATGAATGCGCGATCGCGTCTGGGTCACGCCTGCCGAGAGCTCCTGGGAAGATCCGACAAGAGTCAGTTTTCAATAAAGTACGCCTTTGTCGAGATATTTGGGTGCACCTTGGCTCTATGCCGTTTGTGCAAATTATGCACAGCGATGTTGTCACCACATCTCTCGCACAGAGTAGGAAAATGGTTTTTATTGCCGATGAAATGTATTAGCCGGGTCGATTTGATGAGTTGAGGAATGAGCCTCCGCACCGCTTTAACTAGAAATTGTCGTATATCATTATGATGGTATCGCCAATCGACGAGGCAAACGCAAAACGTACTAGTCAGACGCATCATGCTCTTCAAGCTAGGAGTTTGAGAGCTCAGATGTCGATTGATCGCACCGCACGATTGCATGTCAGCACAGCTACGCATTATTCCGAAGCTTGCGTAATCACATTAATGACCCCACGAAAAACATCGTACAGCGGCGTATCACGGTGGGGCTCATCAGTACAGAATGCTTTACGAGGCGCATGATACCCGTTGGATAACCAATTTGGAAAAGAGTATACTGCACGATGAACTCTATTTATTCGTGGTCCAACTTGTTTGAGAAGACTAGCAAATTGTGTACACCTGTGAGGTCTAAGCTCTTGCCACATACGGCGGCCCCTTCCTGCCCATTCCGGCATAGTTTTGGCAGTCCAAAGGTGTGGACTTCTTTCGGTTTTACAAAAGGTGAATCCGGTACAGGCATCGTGATTTTTGCGGACAGTCTGAGAAAGAATAAGTAATTTTGCTGCTGTCCACGATTCTGTGATCTTTGAGAATACTGCCAAGCTGCTCCTTGACAAAGTCTTCGCCGCCATATAATACCAGTAACCAATGTATAGCATGGGGCTACAGCTTTACAGTAAAGTTTCGGCGAACGTTGTTTTGTAGAGTCGGCAACCGATTGAAGATGCCAGCTGCCTACCATCCGCATATATATGGTCAGACATAACATGTAGATTGTAGAGTGAAAGACATTTTCTTCAGCACTTGCGCAGAGAGACCGCGATGCTGACGCAAGTTACCCCCACTCATTGATCATGCACCGATCAACGCAGTATATGCTTCTACAGGCTCTACCTCATTTAAAATTAGTGGCTAGCTAATCCTGGGGTGCTTGTCACTACCAAGGAGTGACTTCAGTCATAGTAATGGAATGCTATTGTTCAGATCTAACCTGCTCATACCAGCCCGGTTACACCTCACAGCAAGATTAGTGTTTATATCTCAATAAGATTGAGCATCATGCGCAGGGTGCGCGACGCTATGGCTAAGAGCTAGTTTTCTCAGAAGCGATACGCCGATGCCAGAGACAGGCGGAGCAGACAATAAAGTAAATTTGTTTCATTGAATGCAACTAGCCCACCTACATAGGCATTGTCTGCAATCTATAGGTCTTAGTCGCGACCGCGCTACAGCACACCGCTCGCAGCTGTATCAAAAAAAGAATTGATTTATACTCCTAATACCCAAAGCAAATGCAAACACATCGTGTGTTCTATTTGAGCTTGCTCAAATCACACAAAATTCTACTTTAAAGGCTAGTAGGATGTGAAGAGCTCGATTGCACTAATACTTTAATTTCAATCCTCGTGGTAAATCTGGACTTACCCAAGCGCTGCTGCCCCAAGTGCAGACAATATTTAAGAATTTTTGACCTGCGCGGTCCGAAAAAGCTCGCTGAGAAACTTTTGGAGGCTCTCTTTTCTCCCGAAGCGAGCGAGAATTTCTCGTGCGCAGGTATTCAAAGGCTTTCTAGCGGGGTAAGCAATTTTGGATTACTCAAAGCCATGGTCACGACCTTGTGATATAGCTATAAGTCGTCGCGACTCCCGCGATCGTAGACGGACAAGCTAGGTACGCTTACCAAGGTCCTGCAAATCTGTGACTAGTTGGACATTGTCGTGAGTTTCGCAGCGGATGTCGCAACGCTTTTCATTTTGTATCAGGCACGGAGTTTGTAACTCATGCAGCGGGGTATGCTATTCCACTTTCTTGTGAACAGATCAGCCATTTGTCTCTATATGATAAAAGTTAGGCTTCAGAACTCGTAAAGTCGCTGCTGACATTCTTATCGAAAAATATCTCGGCCTTTACACTAAGTATAGCATTAACTTCCTCGGTTGAAACGTCCACGCCATTTTGAAAGGCTCACTGAGCCACGTGGTGGTAATATAAAGGAGATAATTCTCGATGCAAAAATGCTTTCAGGAGCAGGTACGGTAGGGTGAAAGAGGTGAAGCGAAACCCCAACAGCAGCTAGTGGTCGCTGGGATATCACTTCTGTGGTTTTTACAAAAAGACAAAAGCGGTGTGAATTTCACATTCTTGTGGGGTACAATGTTTAAACTTGTGTACGAACTTTACATTACACTTATGACTTATGTGTAATTGTGAATATTCAGAGTTATCATCCTATCGGTACTAATGGCGACTATGGTATCCCGTAAACGAGAGGTCCGGGTTACATGGGGCTGTTAATTCACTTCAAGCATACAGATTGCTTATTATTGAGTGTCGCAAAATCGTATTTATTTAATATGAGCTTCGGTAAAGTAAAAATTTAATATAAGTCATTCCTAAAAAAGTGTGGCAAACTGGAATTGTGAATGGTCTCTTGTTGCAGTACTACTTTTTGCGCTGGCAGCGGTCCTGTGTTGACAAGCTTAGGGTATATCTAACTAATCGATCTCCACTGTACAGCCCCGCGAGCGCTCGAAATGATTTGAATGTCCGCACTAGACGCACGATGTTTTTTTTGGACAAGGTCTCAGCAGCAAAAATTGGCACGAGTTGGACACAAATGTGATCGCCCTCTAACGGCACTGTTCGATAAGATATGAGAAGCTATACTTTCGCAAAATTCTGAGAAAGAATATACTTTTCAGTATCTGGCAAAGTGGCAGGGCTCGCCTCGCATTATAAAATGCTAGGGGGTTCGCGATTGCTCTTTGACACAATTGTGGTATTTTCACAAAGTGCTTGATTTGCGTACGATAATCTTTTTCATCACTTGAATTAGTGTTCAGTATTTAAGTTGCGGTCCTTATGGTGTATGCACGCTGACCCAACCGCCACTGAAGTAAGCATTTTATACCAAGAGGAAAGGCTAATTGAGGGGTCGATTGAACTTGCGAATTAACTCCTGGGCGCTTCTTTGCTCTATGTCTAGGCGGGGGGCAATTCCGAACAGGTCGAACCCATAACCACGATGTGATTGAGTCTGCAAAACTCGCGGTGACTTTTACGCTTGTATTGAGCAAGGTCGGCTCGCTAAGTCACCTTCAGCTTAATAACAACAAGCCGAAAATTATCGTGAGTTCTCCGGTGGGGTGTCACCGTGAACTAGGCACGGGGGTGGACGGCTTATGCACAGAAGCGGTAGATCAAAGAGAACGCTTCGTTCTCGGTAACGACTCGCCGATAACTTTGTGTAAATGCGAAGGCGCCAGGCTAAAACTCGGAGAGTCACCATGACTGCACACATCGACAACATTTCGGCTGCATCAGTGAGTATGGCTCATAAACCGTCGACCGCGAAGGCTGCGCCTTAAATATATCATGTTAGCAAGGACGAAGGCCTCCGATGTAAAGCACGGTCCTAAAAGAGTTCTCCATGCGGTGAAGGCTAAAGAAGCGTTCGTTTTTGCATGATGTCTTAAAAAGACCAAATGTGCGTGCCTTGTTGTGATAAACGTGTTGATATGGAGGGGTTATGTGCAGGATTGTGTTGTATGTAGACCTCACACCCACAGAATTGCCTTTGTTGTCTCTCGGACGAAGGACCAATTACATAATACTACGCAGTCATTATAATACGTGTCATGCATGACAAGAACTGGTATAAACATGGATGAAGAAGAGGTCCGTCGGTCAAAGGTCGCGCTATGCGGCTCTTAGCGTTTCATATTGTAGCGAATAGAGCAGATCAATTAGGTATTATTCAATCTAAAAATACATACATAACTCAGAAAATATGGGAAGGGCAAGATAGTACCTTGTTACCTGAGAGACCTCGGCTCTGACCCTCGGAAAAGTTTTATAACCCACTGCTGTTCATTTGTAGCGCTGACTGGTTGTCAAAGCTTCCTCTGTACATGGTGCACGGCAACCCGCTGAATACTTTAGATAGCGCTAACTCTGAGGACCATATACATATCCTTACAAGGCACGTGACAACCCCGTTGATCTTTGTGTGGAGACTGATGCTTGACTTAAAGCTTCTTGTACCACAAGTCTTTACCCAAAACGCGCGCAAATTTCGCAGATTTTGTACACCGTTTTTTCACATTGCTGTAATGAGATCTTTCGCTATCAATATTTTGAGCTGAGTGTTTCTACGCCTAAAAACATTGCCTTCCAGCTCCGTGAGTTTGGTGGTCTTAGTTGCTTTTTTGACGTTTCCTCGAAAAGAGCTGTTGTGTCAAGGATCACCAGACCTTCGAGCGTGATTCCTACGCACCACTTTCTCTTGGCAAAAGCTTCAGAGTTTTTGCTTGTTGATTATATATGCCCCGCTAGTGCTGAACTTGTTTCTGGGTCTTACACCGTCGTTTCCCGTAACGGTCAATATGTACATCCTTTTTCTTTCCTATCTCTGCGACCGTGTTACGATCGTCATTTCTCTAATCGACGTCCTCGTACGAAGACTAGGATTAGATCCACCATAAACTCAACGTAGACGTTCCTCTTCACCATCTCTTTGCGCTTCTGGCTCTACCTCATTCTCAAATTGACGATCTGTCAATCGTTGCTGTTTCGGTTGATTGCCAGGTAGGAATTTTCGCTTAGCGCATCATTCGGTATTTGTATACTATAATTTTAACGAAGTACTTACAATCTTTCACCTCGTCGCAACAAGTTTCAGGAATGATCAGAAATCAGAGGTCATCGACAAAAATGATTGCAGATTAGTAAACGCAGAAGTTAGTGTTGTCACTCTTGCAGTGTTCTTGAGTCAACCTCATAATTAACCATCATGTCGTTTTTTGAGCAGGGACGCACAATACTTTGCATCCATACATTTAAGCGTCGCTAGCGTATGGTAGTTGAATTATTGATCGCTCGACGATTCCGTAAACGTACCTCTGCTTACGGTAACGTAGTAACGTATACATGTTTATGTACAGAGTGGACATGCGAGGCAGCGCAATTGTTGCAAATCTCAATGCGACACTAATTTTTAACTTTCGAGCAATATTCGGTGGAAATTTCCTTAGCGTATTTGACGAATTTGGTAGATTTCCCCTATAAAACTTTAAATTTTCAATGCGTCATACACAGAATTTTATCTTGATATTGACTAAGACCATCGATTATTGCGAAAAGTTTCTAAATAAAGTTTTTTTGTACTGTAAAGAAATGGTGTACGCCCTGATTCGAGAAAAGTTCCTTTAGGTCTTTTTTCTGAATACTTCATGAAACCTCGGGAAAAGTATCCATAAGAGTCCAACACCAATATTGAACATATCGTGCGTTTGACAGCTCCATATGGTCATATGGTCTCTGCATCATTCGAATGAAGCGACCAGAAGCGATAAAACTAGAGGAGATGGGAGCAATAAAACCAGCTATAAGCTCTCGATGATGATATGGAAACGTGTCCAGTGTCAAACATACTACCGCCCATCTCATAGTATAATCGATAAGAACCCATTTCAAGAGCTGCCTTTTCTGAAATTGAATCCAATCATTGCTAGCCTTGATAATTTTCTAGGTTGACTCACGTCTCACAACTTCATCCAACATAAAATCGAGCATCTCTGTACGACATACGCGTAGTCCGGCTATATTAGCTACATATACAGTTAGATCTCAGCCTAGTATTTTTTGTGCGGGTTTCTCGAAACCAAGACCTAAATGGATGATAGTTTAACACCAGCGCTGTTGCAACTCGACGATTACGTCCGCTGTCTTTTATTTATATATTATATTTACGCTATGATTCACCTCTACAAGGGTTCCTTTGTGATACGTCAGCTGTGGTTAGTTCCTTTGATGGATTTGCTGGTTCCGTTTGCGTTCCAGTAACTTTGTAATACAGCGATACGTCCAGATTTAGATAGCGATATATGGAAGTGGTGTGGTGACGATCTTGTCTTATATGGAAATCCTTCAGTATAGTATATGTATCTCAATCAAGGTCTATCTATACACACCCTTACTATTCAATAAACTGCAATGGATAATGCAATACCTGGCCTACCAGCCGTCTTGCGTAATCTTGGTTTACCACTATCGCAACTCCTTTTGTCCGCTTCTACCTATCCATTTCACTTTACATTTTGCTGTCGCCTCAACAGCTCCATCTATCTTGGTCTTGTCCATCCATCACTCTCGACTTCCCTCTTGTCTTAGCGATTGTCCAATTCGCTTTCTTCTGCACATACGATGGCCGTTTCCAATGCCAGCATCTGCTCAAGCGCCGCGTTCCAGGCACTATCGGGCACGCGTCTCGGTGACAGTCCCATTTTCATGCGTGCTTTAATACAGGGCGATGAAGTCTGTATTGAGTACCAGCTTGACGCTTCCATCGCCAGTTCTGCTGCTTGGTTTGCCGTCGGACCGTCGCGTGACTCTCGCATGGTCAGCAGTCCAGCATCCAACGTCATGATGTTTTTCAGAAATACTGGCACACCGACTTCCTATTTGCTAGGTGGCTACACGAATAGTGATGTGACGGAAGAAAGCGTGGCATCTTATGTAGCTGGAACGGCAAGCACAACTGATATGAGCTTTAGCTTTCAGCGCACGCTCGCAGCCGCTTCGAGTTCGGACGTCGCTATTTCACCTACAGCTGCGACGACATATATCTGGGCTTATGGCACGTCATGGCCTATTTCTTCTCATCGAAGTGGAACGAATGGTGCTGCTACTTTCAATATTGCTGCTGCCGCTACTGCAGGCTCAAGTGCAGCCAGTACGTCCATTAGTTCGAGTGCGAACGCGCCGTGGTGTGACGATAAGAATTGTCCAGCTATCGTCGGTGGCATTGCTTTTGCCATCATGGCCTTGTGTGGTCTGTTGCTCACAGCGGGACTTAAATCGTCGCCTGTCGGCAAGCTTCTATTGCATCGAACTATAGTTCATCCTCCCGTGAAATTGACGACAAACAAGCCTTTGGCCATGCCACATACTATGATTTGGCAGACATTGGCTGATCTACACCTTGGTGAGCTCCTTGTGATGCTTATTTTTGTTGCTGCATTGGTCGTACTTATAGTAATGCTGGATGATGAGAATAATTACGTCGTATCGGGTCAAGTGAGTCTGTTGATTCTGATGTTTCTCATTCTTCCGGTGGCTCGCATACCTGTATGGTCGGTTCTCTTTGGTAGCTCGTTTGAGCGTATTGTCAAGTTTCACCGCTGGCTTGGTCTCGCAATGACAATTGCAGTGGTGATCCACGTCATACAAGCGAACGATGTCGTCAGTCTCACACTTGACGAGAAATATGGTGAAGTCACGCCATTATACGGCTTTATTGCCTTCATTTGCTTTGTGGCCATGTTTTTTCTCTCGATCGAGTACATTCGTCGCATGTTTTTTGAAGTCTTCTATTACGCGCATCGTGTGCTATCAATTGTGGGTTTTGTCTTTGCGATTCTTCACGCACCCAAATTTATTGGTCGTGCACTTATCGTCCCACTTGGGCTATACGCACTCGGATTATTGTATCGCTGGATGAGCGCCTTAACGGGTTCGTACAATGCTTCCGTGTCCGTACACTCTGGTTCCAATTCGACAACTCTCGTCCTGACTTCGTCTCCAAAAACTGGCAAATTGGCTATGAAGATAAATCCTGGCTCATACTTCTTTGTGCGTCTCCCGGCTGTCTCGGCAATTCAGTGGCATCCATTCTCTGCGGTCGTCACACCTGATGGCAATTCAATTGGATTTACTATCAAAGCAATGGGTAACGGCTCGTTTACACGCAAGCTTTTAGAAAAAGCGGGTACACAGTATGAACTCAAAGCCAATTTATGTGGTCCTTTTGGCAAGATGTCGCTGGATCTGGAGCACTATGATGTGGTAGTACTAGTTGCAGGTGGCGTTGGGATCACTCCAATGATGAGTCTGATTAATCAGACGCGTCTCTTTCCGAAAGCTACAAATCCATCGAATAAGGCTTCCAAGACAACCGACTGGTTTGTGTTGTGGTCAGTACGCGAGGCAGAAGACATTTTAATGATGGAGCAGTTTTTGCCATCGAATGCGCAGCTAGACTACGCAGCCGCAGTTAGTATTCAGGACCCTAATACAGCCATTCTAGGCAACAATGTGCCAACCCCGTTCAATGTCAATTGGATGTTCCATGTGTCAAATGCCCGCAGTAATGGATTTGTCACGCGTGGGAATGGTGAGACTGTGTCGTACCGAGGTGGCCAACCCATTCTCGATGAATTGATCAACACTAGTCGATTTAATGGACGAAGGGTAACAGTTGTAGCCTGTGGCCCACCGACCATGACAGTCGAGGCACAGGGACTTGCTCGCAATTGCGGCTTTGATTTTCACAAGGAAGTGTTTAACTGGTAAGCAATATAATGCATCATTTTGGCTTAAGTTGACGTCGCTTCAACAAATTTATTCAATAAATCTTCTGGTACAACTGCATTCGTCAATATGATATTTACTCTACGTAGTCAAAATCGTCTTGAATCTCCAGCCATTTGTTCACCTTTAAAGAGTCATTCACGTCAGTACCAGCCAATATCATCTAGAACCTGATGGAATTTTACCTCTTTACCCTCAACACCGCGCTTTTTCACCACCCACGACTTCAATGTAAACACATTGTCTGTAATACAGACCTAGTTAATGTCTTATTGATAAGTAAACAAATATTGTTAATCCCTACCTGTCCATCTGTCAGCGCCTTCTTTCGCTATCCCCACTTTGCATTCAAGGTCTTCCAAAATCGCGGGATCGTTCTCCGCCAAGTGCTGCATTGTGTTACGCAGTGATTCCACTTTGACTTTCAGCTCCTCCAGTCTCTTCAGCTTTTGTATACGTTCGTCCTATTCTCAGTTTGTGATTGATTCCATATAAGTCACACCATATCAAGTGCTTTTACAATAATTCGACAAACCGAGTCGGAGCGCAGCGCTTGTTGCTCTTCAATCTTTTCCTTCACTCGATCTAATTTCTCCTGTCTAGCTTGTCGGCATTGCTCTAATTCGCTAAGCTTGCGCTTTCGCGACTGCGACAATTTGGATGGAAACGACCAAAAGTAGTTACCGGATCCGATCTAAATGCCTCGCAATACTTATTAGGATATGATTTGGATATAGAAAGCTGTATAACAAGACAGCGATACCTTGTCGCAATCCACCAATGCATCGTCAACCAGCGCCTGGTTAACATCCTTAACCGTTTGCAATACTACAATAATTATTGTCAAATAATTATGCAGGGATAGTAGACTAAATCGCTCGCTACACACCAACTCCAGCTTTAGAGCCGAGCTTCTCCACTTCTTTTAAATTAAAGACCTCCTTGGACTCATGATATATGCGGAGGATGCGCTCGCGCTTCTCTTGCAATGACACGCCCTTACGAGGCATCGGTCTAATTAATTAGATTATTTATGGGCGAATTGAATGAAAAGTTGACAAACAATAAATTGATATGAAAAGGGTAATCACTTTATCTATTTTTGAGTTCGCGCGAGCCTTTGACCAAGTATATTACACGCTCGAGCGTTTCTTGCGTGCGTATCAATAAATCAGCCAGCGAGCCGTCATTTTGTATTACGAGATCTGCTTTCGCTACTTTTTCCTGTTCAGATAAAACAATAATTGCTCTAGAATTACTGCAATTCTTGTAAATAATTACTTTACTTACATCAAGCTTCATTTGTGACTGAATGCGCTTGGTAGCATCTTCCAACGTAATATTATCGCGCTTCATAATGCGATTAAGCTCGTTTTGTTCGGAGCATGTGACGACAATCGTGGGATAGCAAAAGAATTCGAGCAACTTCGTCTCATAGAGTAATGGGGCATCCAAGACCACCAATCGTTTACGACATATAAGACGTTGGTAAAGGAGCTGCTTAAGCATTTCCCAGATAATATACTTATGCGTTGCAGAGTTCAGTTTTTTTCGCTGTCTTGGGTCGTTGAAAATGATAGCCCCTAGCTTTGCACGATCAATGGTCGCGTCGTTTTCATTAAGTACCTGAGGACCAAAAAGACGTACAATCTCTTTGTATGCACAATGTCCAGGCTTGACTACTTCTCTAGCTATCACATCAGCATCCACAATCACAGCTCCAGCTTCGTGAAAAGCTTTTGAAACTGTCGATTTGCCGGTGCCAATACCTCCTGTGAGCCCCACGCCTACTAGAGACGCGCCAAGCTCGCGTCCAGCCAAGTAGCATCCCATCGACACAATACCATTGCGAAGTGATAGCTAATTACATGGAGTCATACCATATCAGTCAAACATAGGCCGAATCTCATACAATAGTACCTCGAAATTAGTTACTCTCATACCATCAATGCGAATGCGAATGGAGTCAAAGTGATTGACCATCGTCGAAGCGAGTTTTTCTGTAGCCTTTCTTGTAATATTCCCAGCGGTATGCCAAGCAGTAGGCTCAGAAAGATCACGACGAATTCCGATCCATGCATGTGCGACGAGATTCGAAGCAATACTTGTCTTTTTCGCCAATCACACCTCCGTACCACTTTTCGCGTTGTCATTATTAAAAATGTCAACAGTCAACTGCGAACTTCAAAAAATGATCCGCGACTCTTGCGTTGTTAGCGCTAGCTCCACTTTTCAACTTTCCCAACTTTCGAGATATCAATGCACTTGTATGCACCCAAAAATCGATTGGACACGTAGAATGCGCCGCGATTTGGTTCTGGCTTGTCAGTCGAACTCGCGCACTGCTACATAGCTTGAAGCTTTTGATCTCCCTTCATTCTGACAAGCTCCAATTTATTTTGCTTCGAGAATTGCACGCAGTTGCATCGTGTAGGACATTTTGATATCTACTATGCTTCATACTTGGCTCTGATTGAAAATTCAATGCATTCAACGAAACACGGAAGCGACCTTAACTTGATTAAGACTAGATTTCATGTCAATTTTGGGAATGAATGAAGGCTTTTTGTTCGGAAACCAAGGGCAGTGAGCTACTGGGAATGTGTGGGACTTAGTGCAGGAAGCTATATTGCAATATCATGGTCTGGATTTAAATATTTGTGACCAATGCAGCCAAACTTTACCCCGGCATGTGATCACATACCAGCAGTAATGTACTGCGCAAGTGGTTTTATTACAACAAGATCAAAGGCGCGACTTCTAAATATCTAGATGCTGCACCTTTTGAGGAGGAAGATCGAGTTGGTGTGATGGTCGATCTTCTTGCTGGATTTCTGATCTTTGTAAGAAACGGAGAGCCCCAAGCAATCCCTATCCTAATCGATCCTTCGAAGACATACCTGGCTGTATTTAGTGATCGCGCATGCTACAACTTGCATCTTATCCCGAATGTTCATAGCAGGCCATTTACTGTTCTAATCAAGATCAAGATACTACAGTGAGCTCGCTTTAGTTTCAAAAAATCTGAATTTATAGTATACTCGATTAATTAACATCGGGGTGTGCCACACACATTTTTGATTTGGCAATGACAACCTGGTTCCAAAAAGAGATCGTGCTATCAGCACCCAGCCGCGGCTTTCACTGTGAGCTTAGCTTTCATAATTTACTGTGTATTACCGTTCTGTTATATTACACTGTTTTGTTATATAGTGGTCACGCGCCAGGTTGAAAAGCAGGTAAAAAAACTGACCCCGAAACTTTATCTGCGAAATGTTATTTATCTAGGAAGTTTGTAGGTGCCAGAGTTGTCACGTGTGAAAGTGGGTATGGCAAATCTATTTATCAAACACACTTCGGCATCGCTAAGTATCAACGAGAATTGCGACCCGGACGTGCGGTGAGTGATTAGTCCTTCGTGTAAATTGATCGGATTTCAGTTACTCTCCTTGGTACAGACAAGATATGGAGGGAGCTTTCAATCGTATTGTTCCAGAGTCTTGGAATAAGTGAGTGGAATCTATTGGCATTGACTATTTTCCCTCTCACCTTCTGCTGTTTTTAGAGAATTTTTTCGTCACACGGATGAAGGCGACGGTAAGCGGTTACTTTATTAATCGGTCAAACTTGTTACGAATTGCTGCTGCTCAGATGACATGCCAGGACACGTTAAGTCAACGCTGATTGGGGCTTCTGTGAATATCCCGATAACAAACGGCAAGTTTAATTTGGGAACGTGGCAAGGTGCGGATATCAAAGCCGTTTATTTCATACTTTCCTTAGATGTGCGTCGTTTTATACAACTTGTCGTAGGTATCTATTTGTGTGAGCATCGCAACATTGGCGGCTGGGGCTCTGGCCATCAGCGTAAAGTGGTCGTCACCATCCAGGGTTCTACGACTTGAAATTTTGTTAGCACATTGCTGAGTGTAAAACTTGAACTACTACTTTTGGAAAAGCACAAACATTCTTATATGAGGAAATGGTTTGAGTACAGCGACGCTGCGTGTCTTTCCGATTTCAAAAGCGTATTAGGACGTATGTCATGCAATCCTTATCAGAATGCTAATCATCAAAATTACAGCGATCTGGTGCTTTCAACCCAATGCGATAAATTGATAGCTGTAAGCTACACAATGATGCTACAGCTTCTTGAACACGAGCTGATCGGTATTGATATCGCGATGCAATATCGGCATATGACATTTGACATTTGACCTTGGTGTTCATTAGTAAGTTCACCGACCAAAGATAGAATGAGGTCAATATATGAATGGACGCGCCTATAAAAAGCGCATTCCTCACGACAGATCCCTAAATGAAAGTGAGACGATCAAGGGTTGTTCAGATATAAAGGAACGCAGCGACTCTTTGAAGCCACAACAGACACCTCCGTGCCTACCCGACGATACTCGGCCTAACCGTACGCCAAAGAGGAGGTGAACACTGCCCCTTTGCATGAGTTGCGTGCTCCGTGCCTCTTTCTAAAAAAACACGTTGCGACATACTGTTGTAGAGCTCACGACGTGTTTTTGCTCGTCACTTAAAAGCTCGACCCCTCATAAAGCTCACCTTGCTCATTTGCAAGCTGTCGAGTAGGAGGTAAAAACCGAAGTGAATATATTTAGGTCCTTAGTTCGCTACTCTGTGCTACCTCTAAGCCTGTCTTTCTAGATCCCTCTAGGAGCTTCAGTAAGCATCCTGATTTAAGTAGACCAATGAACGCCAACCAACATGTAATTACTTACTGTGACGTGCTCGTAGATATGGTGATGTCATCTGCCTGTTCAACATGCATTCAACGGTGTAATCTCAACACCCCCACTCACCGCTAATGCTGCGCGTGCTTTGTCGCTAACTTGACCTCGATTCAGGAGGCTTCGTGCAGCTACTTTGACATCTTGGTTCCAAGTGCAAGCTGACATTTTGTGTCAATATAGTCGATCTTCAGCAGTCCTACTTGCACGTTCTCGCGAATAAAGTGGTGCTTGATGTCAACATGCTTCGTCCTAGCGTGGCATCCGGCATGATTGTCTAACGCAATCGCACCTTCGTTGTCTTCCCAAACCTGTGTTTCTTCAATTTGCCCGTGTCCCATGTCTCTTAGCATTGCCCGTGTCCAAAGAACTTCCTGTGTGCAAAGACTGAGAGCCATATACTCAGCTTCCGCTGAACGTAGCGCAACCGTCAGCTGATATTTCGACCCGAATACCACTGGTGCGCTCGCAATCATGACCATAACTCTCGAAACCGAACGTCTGTCATCGAAGCTGCTGCCCCAATCTGCATCCGAGTATGCCTTGACCGCAACGCTCCCACTTCCTCGGTA